TGTTCAAACATGTAACTACTGTCAACAATGATGATGTATCAAAAAAAGTAAAAAAAAAAAATTCAACATCAAATAATCCCACCCCATCCAAAATAGTACAGTTTTACACTTTACAATAAGGATCCTTTTAATATTTGTGGATATTTATAATGCAGTAATACAGTACAATATTATATGTTAAAATATGTGTTTCCTAATCATTATTGTGCTTACAAGAAAGAAGACTTGGCCTCTCTATGAATATTGTGGCCCCTTGATGGCCCCTTACTCAGAAAAATCCTAGATCTGCCACTGTGCTGAGAAAAAACATAAAAGGAGTTGAAAAAACATAATTTATTGACTGCAGTTTTTTTCACTAAAAAGTCTCGATATAACAGAGGGATACCTTTACTGTGAGTCCATATCTGTGAAAGTTTCCAGTCAGAGGTTCTTCTAACAAAGCAGCCAGGAGTTCTTTGGGAAAACCTTGAAACATCCTGCTGGAGACGGCCTCTGCAGGAGTAARGTTGATTTATTCAAGGATTAATAATTTCATGTTATGAACAGCTGAAAACACAAACGCTCCCATCGGTGTCAAAATAAAAGCCTCCTTGTAGCTCCTCTCTGCTGACACCGAGTGTCGRCTTTTATTTAACGCACTTTACCAGAACTTGTTGCTAAACTTTTAATCTGCTTATTAAAAGTTKATTTCCTGGATTGAAATAGACTTTAAAAGATGCAGGAAGAAGCTTTCACCTGCTGTTAGGTTGAGAGGCAGGGCGAGGTTCTCAGCTGGGGTGCTTGTGAGCAGGTTTTCACCAGCTGCCAGCACAGTGAGCAGCTGCATGCCCATACATGTGCCCCAGATGGGGAAGAAATCTCCAGCATCATTGGCCTGAATACATAAAAAAAGAGGCAACCAGAAAACTACAATTCAAAGTAGACATGGGTTTTTATGATGTAAAAACAAGCCATGTAGCATGTCTTGGCCTGCAGCAATGGACTTGCAGAATGAACTTTGACCAAGTTCAAATGTGTTTTCTATACCAGCTTGTGCCTGTCACGTCAGCAGGTGTTTGTAATTAAGGTAATTGTGTGACAATATGAAGTTTGAAGAGATTTTTTGTTAAAGTTTCATTAGCTGAGTTTTGAACCCTGATCTTCCACAGGAAAGTCCATGACGTAGTCCATTAGACCAGTGGAGCCGTGGCAGAAGATGGTGGCAGGGGTTGGTTTGTTTGTGTGCAGAAAGAGGCCACATTGCCAATACAATTACTGACACAAAAGTGCATAATACAACAACAGAGCAGTATTAAGACAATATTATAGTAAAACATCAAAATACAATCATATTAGTACTGTAAACACTGAACTACTGAGTTGAAATATTAAACTATGGTGCAGTACCAAGTTGAATACAGCTTGGGGCAGTATTGGACCAATACAAGGCTCCATTGACTGCCATTTTAATTCATTAAACATTAATATTTCATAAACTATAAGTTTTACAGGCACCAAAAGGCATAGCCATCATTTGGCACAGGGGTTTTACAGATGTAAATTACAATGGTAGCTCTGGGACAAAGTATGCAGGAGGAGAAGCATGCCAAAGTTGAGATGACTTGGACGGGAAACGAATCACAACAGTGTGCATTGCATTGGCAATGCACACTGATTAACAAAATCAAATGAAATGCAGTTTATTAAATCTTAAAATCTACAAAACGAGACATGTACTAAACAAGTATAAAAGGTTTAAAATCCTGACAAAGAGACTTTGAATGGATACAAAAAGATTTGAAATAAACAAAAGGAGCGATGAAGCCAACATGATGATGGAAACAAACCTCCAACGCCAGTCTGTAAAAGATCTGTGCCACCTTGGCGTAGTCTGACGTCTCCAAATCTGCAGCTCCACCGATAAAAAACAGGCTGAAGAAACAGAAACAATGTTTATTCTCTACATTCAAGCAACATGTTTTTAAAAAGTTTTTATTTATTTGTCTGCGTGTTTCTAGTTTTACAGCCATGCTCACCCATTTATCTTCTTGAAGATGTTTTCGTACTCTGCAGTGGAAAGGGTCAACCTGTCCAAGAAAAGAGTTTGTTCAGTATTTACTTTTTTAACATTTTACTTTTTATACGATTAGCGTCACTAATCATCAAATAATTTCACATTAACGAGGAGTTATGGTCAATAGGTGTGTACATTTGTATTATCAGTGTTTAAAACCCAACTTAAGAAATAATGGAGCTCTATAGCTCAGACATAATTTACAATAAAAACATCAATAAAGGTTTTAATGGGTCCCAAATAGTTGGACTTTATATGTCTGATCTGGCATTCTGATATTTTTTAATGGTTTTTACACAATTGTTGTTTATTTTTGGTGATTTGTATGTTTTTTCTCTCACTAACTGTTCAACCTTCATGATGTCACCTGTAACCTTTGAGCTGAGTAAAATTTTTAAATCTTTTGCAAAGAAACTCTTCTCACTCTTTTTATTTACAAATTAAACATCAAAATGCAGGAATTTTTGTCTTCTTTCACCTTGTGTGTGTCTCACTGTCATTGGAGGTACAGTTTTCTCTCCACACCTGAGCTTCCACAGATTCAGCTGTAATTTAGCTTAAAATATTCTTCTCAGATTTGGTGAAAGGCTCRGTCATCCAGGAGGGACTCAGAGTAGAGCCGCTGCTCCTCCACGTCGAGAGGAGCCAGTTGAGGTGGCTCGGGCATCTGGTTAGGATGCATCCTGGACGCCTCCCTGGTGAGGTGTTCCGGGCATGTCCCAGTGGGAGGAGGTCCAGAGGAAGACCCAGGACACGCTGGAGGGACTATGTTTCTCAGCTGGCCTGGGAACGCCTTGGGATTCTTCTCCCAGAGGAGCTGGGCCAAGCTGGGGAGAGGGAAGTCTGGGTCTCTCTGCTTAGGCTGCTGCCCCTGTGACTCGACCCCGGATAAGTGGAAGAGGATGGATGGATGGATGGATGGATGGATGGATGGATGGATGGATGGATGGATGGATGGATGGATGGATGGATGGATGGATGGATTGAT